AAAACAAGGAGACTCAGGAAACTGTCACAGCACAGACAAGCCTACAGGGGCACCGTGACTAGATGTACTATGATATCCTAGATGCGATGGAACAGAAAAAAGACATTAGATAAAAACTAAGGAAATTATAGACTAAAGTATATAATTAAGTATGTAGACTTAATTATATAAAGTACAGACTTTAGTTAATAATAATGTATCAATACTGGTTCATTAGTTGTGAGGAATGTAAGATATTAATAATAGGGAAAATGAGTGTGAAATACATGGAAATTCTACAATATCTTTGCAACTTTACTCTAAATTTAAAACTATCCTGGGAGTCAGAAACCAAGGCTTATGCAATGAGAACCAGAGGGACCCAGGAGAGAGAAGGTCAGGCTGGGTCAATCCAAGTCCTCACTGGGGCTGTTTCTGGAGCTCTTGGCAAAAAATTCTCTTTTTATTTGGGATCAAATAATCTTGGGGCTGCTGATGGTCAATTTTTATTCTAAAATAAAAATTTTATTTAAAAAAATCAATCCCGAGAGTCATGTTAGCATTAGTCAGTGAAGTGAGGTAGGGAGTTACATTAGCAGCTAGAATCTCTGATATTTGTGAGGACAGTGCAATGGTAGGCAAAGGGTTGTCATAGCAGCCAAGTTTGAAACAAGCAAAAAAAGCAAACTATAGTCATTTATATTGGCTGATTAGACCTTCAGGCCCAAAATCTTTAATAGCCAGGGATAGGCAGGTAGGGGCCAGGGAAATGTTCTCACCTATATTAAAGTCTTTTGTAGAGAAGATATTCAACATTTAATTTCGGAAGAATAGGACAGAGAAAAGAGGGTTAGACAGAAGTCAAGGGCCTTGAATACAAAAGAGAAAACCTCCTAGATGGCAAGATTGCTTATAAGGCAGAATGTATAATCAAGGAAGTGTTAGAATCTCTAAACCTGGAGACTCTTTACAGAATCCAAGACAGAGAGGAGGCCCCTGAGGAAGCAGTGCAGATGAAATGAGCCCTGGAGCCCCTTCCTGCAGTCTATTTTTAACAGCAACACGTCCTTAAAACAAAAGGGTGAAATACAAAAGAAAGTCATTAGTGTTCAAATTGAATACATCTAACAATTTTTATGTAGGTCACATTTTCCTGAGGATTTTCTTTACCATAACAGTTCATTCCAAAGCCTTTCTTTAGAATTCTTACAAACACCAGGTACCACAATGGACAGATACCATGATGTGTCTTTACTACAAGGTTGAAGTGATCTAAGTGGGAAAACACACACATATAAACCTAGATCCTGAATGCCCAACTCAATATGATCCTGTTCAACCTCCTTGCACCGAAAGCATGTTTGTTACAGCGGATCCTGAACATACAGGAATTCTAGAAGAGGGCGTGGGAGACAGACTAAGTAGTGGATGGGCAGAGGAGTCAGAAAACAAGGCATGTGCAACGAGAACCAGAGGGACCCAGGAGAGAGGGTCAGCCTGGGTCAATCCAGGTCCTCCCTGGGACTCTGGGCAAAAATGCTCCTTTCGTTTGGGATCAAGTAATCTTGGGGCTGCTGATGTTCACGGATGTTGCCATTTGGAAAGCGTTCTCCTGAGATGGAAAGCAATAAAGAGAAAATAGGAAGTGCTGGAGAAGGGGAGCAAGAGTGAGCAGGTGTATAAACATATCTGTGACACGACGCTATCTTGTGAAACTCTGGATCCATCCATACCTGAAGCCTTCTGCTGTACCAGTTGTATGAATCCATGCATTCTCTTGCCTTCAACTGGTCTGTGACTTTCAATGGAAAGAATCATAAGTAGAACAGGCTTAAGGAAGATTGAGAGGGAGGGGCACCAAGGGAAATGGAGCAGGAGCCATGGACTGAGGTAGGACAAGAGTAAGAGCAGTGCCTTTGGTGCAGTCAGAATCTACATGAGGTGAGAGGACCCTTTTAGGTATAAAGAAGACAGAGGGACCTTTGAGCAAATACTAAGAAAGATGGAAAAATTATCTTAGAAAAAATGGTCACCCCGATCTCCTGGATGAATGGACAGCCATGCTCTGCCCTTAAATGCAACACTTTGGGATGACACACGTTTCGGGTGGATGAGAATCCTGCTACACTATGTGAAGAGACATTCTACTACGAAAAGAATTTTCTGCCCACTTCCTCCACTCCATTACATGAGTAGTTTCTTAATAATAAAGCACGGCATTTACCATACCAAATAGTTAATAGGATGCGGAACAAAAACTGAACCTGTAAAGTTCTTGCCTTGATTTCTTCCGATCCTGAGCACCCATGGGTGCTAGACAAAAGCTAGCATTTTATTCCTGCTACTTAGTCTCCAGACTTGGAACAACTCTTGTTGAGGTAATCAGGTTCGCTTTTCAAAATAATAACCAAAAGCTGTTCCTTGTTCCCTTTCTAGAGTCACATTGATATGGAGCAATTAGAGTAACCCATTATAGAGAATTCCCTGCTTTGTTCAATTTATAGACATCAATGGACACCTCTCCTGGGAATTCAAAGAACAGACTCGTGTGGGCGAGCTAGGCTTGCTGTTGGCAGAATAAAACACATCTGCTCACTGCTTTGTTTTAACAAAGACAACATAAGTAGTGATTACAGTTCACTGGGGTTTTGCACCAATCCTCAAAACGCTGACAGTTACTTAGGTCACTCACTGGGTGGAATGATCATCTTGAGAGGAACAGAGAGGGTACCATTTATATTATAAAATGGAGTGAGCACATGAGACAAAGCATCAGCAGGAGTGGTAGAAGAGATCTTTGTCAGAATAAGAGATGATTACATTTAGGAATTAGACAGCAACTGTACTGAGTACTCGTGGTGACATGAACAACAGCACAACTGTGCCATTACAGAGGTGAGCATAATTCTTGGAGCTTCTCTCTCTCTTTCCAAAACAGTTGATGCAGGTTGGCCTGAGTATATCACTCAAAGGCTTGATAGAAATTGGAACTATTGTGCCTTGTGGAGCCCTTTTAGAATGGACAGAACAGAAATCTGGAATGCCATGCCACTGGAAATAAGATACTGTATTATTAAACACTAGAGGCCCAGTGCACAAATTCGTGCATGGGTGGGGTCCGGCTGGCCCGGCCCCAATTGGGCCAGGCCGGTGTGGGGGAGGTGCCATAGGTGGTTGTCCCTGCCCCTGGTCGAACTCCTGGTATAAGGGACAATTTGCATATTAGCCTTTTATTATATAGGATTAGACACTGAAAGGCCACCAATGATCACTAATACAACTACCCATGCAGTCCTGTATTTGCAAGAAGCAAAGAAATCAGCAAAACAGGCATCTCGTCCCTTTTCAGAGCTGTTTATTTTGCAGTTAGCAAAAGGGAAGTAAGCTATATTTGACTTTTTATTTTTATTTTGGTAAAGTGGAGTGGCACCGGGAGATAAAATGGATAATTTAGGCCAGGGGTCCTCAAACTTTTTAAACAGGGGGCCAGTTCACTGTCCCTCAGACTGTTGGAGGGCCGGACTATAGTTTAAAAAAAAACTATGAACAAATTCCTATGCACACTGCACATATCTTATTTTGAAGTAAAAAAACAAAACGGGAACAAATACAATATTTGTATTTGCATGTGGCCCGCGGGCCGTAGTTTGAGGACCCCTGATTTAGGCTATTGCTTGTGACAGATTGCCTGATACAAAAAGATTATAAAGTTGAGGGTCTTTCAATGAGACCTACTTATCTGAGTCTGCTCAGATCCAATACTGTGCCCAAATTATCCTTAATAGGTGCATATATTTTTTTCTATTTTTATAGGTTCTGGGAACAAATATGTATAATTTTTATCAGCAGATAAGAAGTAGTATTTTAAATAATAAAAAGTAAAAGTACAAATAAGAAGTCATATTTTAAGGTTTCTAAAATAGAGTCTATGATCTCACTCAGAGCCCCTCCTCTGCTGGCCTTCAGGAGAGATGCTCAGTCAGCACGAGATCTGAGGCCCTGTGCATTCCAGGCCCGGACTCTGCCCCTGGGGCCGGGATTTTGAATAATTTAGCCCGTGAATTTCATCTACACCTCTTCCATCTCTATGCTGGAAATGCTTGTTAATCAAAATAACTTGTCAAAAGACAATGGTAATAAACCACTTCCCCTGAAGTTCACATTCCAAATGATGTAAGTGTTTTCCTAGCAATAACCTTCGAATGGTTAACTCTGGTACTAAGTTCAGGGCAGATTCTGTTTCTTTCATGTTTTTGCTGTTATTTTCCTTTTTTCTACCCTGTTTCTGTCTCTCTGTTTATGCATTCAAATCTGCCATTTCTTTTATTCCTTCTTCATGTTTGCTTTGCCTCTATTATAACTGCCTACCACATGCTTCTGAATGAATGCCTTTAAGATGTATTTATTTTATAGTTATTAAATAATGTCTATGTGCCCTAAAGTTTTCAAATTATTTTTCTCTGAGTCATTGGTTCTTGATAAAAAAAAAGAAGTTTCACATTTTTATTTCATACCCTATTACTTAGTTTTCTTGAAATCTATAATTAAGTTGTCTCTTAACCATCTCTTTTCCAGAATAATTGTTTTTCTCATATTCTCTATTTTCAAGCACCTTAATCACTTCTAATATTCTCTTCTTAGACATTTTTTCATTAACTTGTATCAGTTAAAATAAAAAACATCAGCTGTGTGCTCAGCGCTAAGTTTTGAGATAAGTTCCTTCCCTTGGGAAGTTGTGAGGGGGACTGGCTTTTGTTCTTGAGACAATCGTGGTTCAATCTTCCATGATTTTGTTTCTAAGGTTTAATATCAAGCACTGTTAACATGGACCATTTTTGGCTTCCCACACCCCACACAGGGAAGCGAGATTACTTCCTTTCACAGAACCACCAAGTGCAGAGGCTCAGCTGAGCTGGATTCTGGCACAGTCTTCTGACAACCTGGACACGTCCCATAGGGTGACACATTCCCAATGAGAGTACTCAGTCCAGTTCCTCAGCCGTCCCCCACCAGTTACTTACTCTGGGATGTGGAAAGATTGGAGAAGGCTGACTTTGTTCGGCCTGCTAACCATTCCAGGCTCTCATGCATGTTGGCCAAGGCTTTGAGGTCACTGACGTCACGCAGGATGTCTTGTGGAGGGATTAATTTATCACCCAGGTTCCCAATAAGAACTTCGGACTCCTTGCCAAAGGCTGCCCTGCAAAGCAAACCAGAGACATTTCACATACAGCACGGCAAAGACTGGGGTGGGCAATACTTTTTAAGACATGCCCAGCATGAGGTTGTTATAATCACTGTTATTACGGCATGCTACTTTTCCTAGGTTTAATTTTATGAGGATACTATCATATACCTGCTTAAAATTAGTTTGATCCTAGAAAGAGAGCTCTTGGAAGAAGAAGCAAATGACCTGATGCTTGTACCTTCAGCAGCAACTGGTGTGGGCCTGACCTACACAGGGATGGTCCTACGGATGCTCGGATGCCTGCTCTCTTCCGGGATTCCCCTTACCTCTTCTCCCGCTGTGCAAATTGCTGATGGTGTTAAATATATACATTGTTTGAAGGTATTTGAAGTAAATAAAACCACTAAGTTAATCTGGCAGTTAGAAAATGTTCTGAAATGTTCAAAAGCAAAGGGGCCCAGCCTCTTTAAGGAGTAGATTATAGTTGAGAAAGATGGCAGGCCTCATTCATTCATTCATTCATTCACTCATTTACTTCTTCTAAAAGGGCTCTGGGCACATAAACAAGGAAGCATATAGGCACTCATCATTTGGAAAGAAAACCCAGTAAAAATCAATGCCAGGATCCTTTTGCTGACTGGAAGAAAACACAGTCAGGTGGATTTCACACAGAGCCCAGTGTCTTCATAATGTTTTTGGAGGGTTGAAAATCATGCTACGTGGGGTCGCAGAAGGATGAGCTGGAAGGGACCCCAGAGACCGCATGGCTCAGCCACTGCACAGATGAAGAAAGGAAGGTGCCGAAGGTTAACTACTTTGCCTGCAGGACACATAGTGGCAGGGCTGGGACTCACGCTGTCCAATTCCCACAGCTCTCTTTCTTTAAAAAAGAGAGGACGGAAATGATAAAAGATGATGGAAGATGTTAGGGAGAAAAATCCCGTCTTTTCAGGAAGTACCTACAGGTGGGCAAGCAGAGCTCATGGCGGAAGCTGGAACAGGCACCTGGAGTTTCCCATGGAAGCCTCCCCACAGCTTTTAAAACTCAAGATACCTTCTGTGAGCAGCAGCTCTACTTTATATGAAGAACAAACTAAATTAAGTTTCAAGTGAGCAGTGTTAGTAAGAGCTGACATATATATTCAGAGCGATGCTTAATAAACACACAGCATTTGGTGCCCAGCACTATAGCAGACACCCAACGTTGGCAGAAAGAGCTGCTGTGGATTAAATGCCTATTAAAAGTATGTAGCTGAAGTGGTGGTTCATGATTGGGCTTATTTCAACAGGAGAAAAAGTCAGAATTGATGGAGTTGGGTGAGTCATGTGGACAGAGCACAGAAACGTGAGTGCACTTGGGGGTCTTGTACCAGATCCTGGGGTGGGACCCGAAAGTCTGCATTTCAAAAGTTTCAGGCTGCTGGCCTGGAAGCATGCTTCCTGAGTGGTAAGGGTTGGAGCACAGACTTCAAAGTCAGGCAGACTGGTCTGAATCCTGAATGTGCCTCGTCCTTGCTGTATTATTGGCTAGGGTGATGGCGCTGACCTCCTATGGAGCATTTTAAGAAGTAGATGAGGTGACATTTAAAATCTTTATTGGGAAAATTTCAATAATTACAGAACTAGAGAGAATAGTGTAGTAAACTCCCAGGCAGCCACTGCTCAGCTTCAATTATTAGCAACTCACAGAGAGTCTCTTTCATCTATCCTTATCCAGAATTTAAAAAATATTTTATTGATTGATTTTTAGAGAGAGAGAGGAAGAGGGAGGGGGGCAAAGAAGGGGGAGAGGAAAAGAAGGGGAAGGGGGGTGAGAGGCGGGGAGAGATTTGTTGTTCCACTTATTTATGCATTCATTGGTTGCTTCTTGTATGTGCCCTGACTGGAGATCGAACCTGCAACCTCAGCATATTGGGATGACACTCTAACCACCTGAGCCACCCCAGCTAGGAGATGCCTTATCCACAATTTTGAAGCAAATCATTCAGCTAATATTCTTTGGTGCCTAACACAGTGCATGGAAAGCTAACAAATTGTAGCTATTATTATCCTTAGGTCTATTGAGGTGGTTGGTTTACTTAGTGTCAACCTGGGGTCTGCTGTGATGAATAAATTAAAATAGATAAGAGAGATCAGAATAAGTTGGATCTCAAGGGCTAGTTTTACAAATGGAACCTTGCAACATCAGAGCAAATGTGGCTGTGTTTCAGAGGCCAGACTTTTCTCAAAATCTTCAAGAGGTAAATCATTGTGGCAGAAGCCACTGGTGGGCTATGCGGTATCCATTATCCCATGCCTGCTTAGTAAAAGGGCCCTGGCATTGTTGGGGTCGGCATGTACCCAATCTAAAAACAAAATTAAAAAAACACACAAGGCGAAACCCCATTCAATTTCCCAGCCCCTCCTGCTGATGTGGCGGTCAATGAAATAACAGCTGAAGTCGCAGACAGGTTTCCAAGAAACATCTCTCAAGCATCTTAGTTGGCAAGGACCTCTTTTGTGCCCTCCCCCGCCCCTTACTGGACGCAGCCCTGGCATCAGGTGCCCTTGAGCATGAAAATAATGCTGAGAATAATGGAGCCAAAGACAGGAGGGCTTGGAGGCACCGATGACATCATGGAGCTGCAATGCAGCCCCAGATAATGCACTTCTAGGCTTAGTTCGTTTTATAGGAGAGAAAGTGAAACCTTATTTGTTTGAGCCATTGCCATTCCAAGTTTCTGCTACTAGCCACTAAATGTAATTTCCACTGACACCATTATCTAATTAGCATAAGTGATGTCGTTCTTGGAAAACTTTCTCTAAATTAGATATCTCTGAAATCGAGTTACTGCAAAAGCAAGACAATGTCTCTTCCATGATCTGAGCCCAGCAGACAGTACAATATCTCCCCCTTGGCTGTCACGCAGTCGAGTTGTAAATATGTAGTTTGCTTAATCTGTCCTTACATATCCACTCTCCCAGCCCCTTAATCATCTTCGATAGATATAACAAATAGTGCCTCTGAGCTCGGTGGTTAAAAGCAGCAGGGGAGGCAAACAGCTTTGAAAACCCGGCTCGGAGCCATCTTTATGCATGGAGGTGTGACCCTGGGGGGAATGTGACAATCAAGACAAATGCATTTATGTTGAAGTCGAATCTGCTGTGTGGGATCTGAGGCCTGGGCATGTCTGCGGTCTGCCTCCCAGGCCAGATGCCGAGCCCACTCCCCTCCGGCTCCCTGAGATCGGCTTAACCTGCTCCGAAGGGAGCTCGGTGGACCGAGAGAAACACACACCGCCTCACGCTGCACACATCGCAGACATCTCATTTGACAGGAATCCATAATCACCCCCTAACAACCTGGAGAGGGCCCCGCAACCATGACATCCAGAATAAATGATTGACAGCTATAACCGTTTCACACAGAAAGTCATTCCTTCGAGGATTTGTGTGTCAAAGAGCTTGGTGGACGGTCTTTGTGTGTTATAAAAACCTTCAGGGGACGGCTTTAGCTGCAAAACCATGGACTTTTTTCTAAACCCTCTAATTTATTAAGTAAACTATGGTATAGTCACACTATGGAAAAGTGTGTAGTCATCAGAGATTATATAGTAGAAAATACTTGATTCCATAGAAAAATGTTGCATATAGTTTATTTTTAACCATGATATGCAGTTGAGTAAAACAAGCTGTTATAAAACTGAATGCACCACATACTATTCAAAAAGAGTAATTATAGATTTTTATGAACTGAAAAAGACTCAATATCTATACACCACATGTTAACTGTGTGACCGGATTATTTTCCTTTGTGCTGCTCCGGATTTTCTACGTTTTCTCCAAAGAACATGTTTACTTTGTAATTAAAAACAAAAATTACAAACTCTACCGGGAATGAGAAAACCGTTCAGATGGACACATGAAGAATTTCACCAGGGGAAATGGGAGGGGGAGGGATTACAGTCACTTGAGTGGAACTGGGAGCGACGGGTGCGGGCTGGGGGCTAGCTCGGGATGGTCAGTGTCCACCACAGAGGGTCACGCTGCCAGACTGACCACACCCAGCATCTGGGCCAATGCGGTTTCTTTCTAGATCTGAATCGTACTTACTCTTTATTACCTGCTTATTATGAAAGCGCAGTACTTAATGGAGATGTTACATGTTTTTGAGTGAAATGGGTAACAGAATGATCATTTTCTTGAGAAGTGAAGTGACAGGTGCTCCGTAATTGCCCAGTGATTACCTGACACGGCCAAGAAGAGAACTGTGCTTGCTGTGGGTACCCTGAGTCCCATGTGAGGAGTCACTGTCACCATCGTAGGCCAACATGCTCACAGAGGAGCCCAAGAAACTGAAGAAGGGTGTTCAACCTGTTAAGCTTAATTTCCCCACACAATTATCATCTTTAAAGAGCTGGATCTGACAAGACTTCATTTAAGAGAGTTTTGCGAGAGCGTGAAATCTGTGTAACTTAATTTTACCACACAATCATCATCGTTAAAGAGGTCTATCTGACAAGAATTCATGTAAGAGAATCTTGCCAAAGATGCCGAAAATTGTCTCCATTTAGTCTTTAAATAATTCTGTTATCCACTGAAATCTTAGGAAGGAAAAAAAGAAAATCTGCATTTCAGCAGGCTAAATGCACTTATGAGAGAAACACTGCAAATCGTTTCTGAGCGACTGATTTGCAGATCTGTGCTATATTTGGTCACATAATATACACACTCAAGACTCAGTGCTCTCTCTCCCTGCCCCATTCACCAATCACCCAAGACTGCTTCCTACTGCTGAACCCACTGAGCGACCAGGAAACACGGACAGAAGGTCAGTCCCCCTGTGACCCAGGCAGAGCAGGGGAAGAGCGAGGACTAAAGCAAGCCGTGCTAATGGTTGTGAGGTGGCATTTCCTCTACGATTTCATATGAGGAGGATGTGAGTATTATAGTCACTTGAACTGAACTGGGAGCAGTGAATGCTTGGTCTGGTGGCATTTCCCCTACGATTTCATATGAGGAGCTGGTAGGGG